TTCTCCAGAGCCACAACCTTCGACTGCGCCAGTCGTTGCTGCACAAGATTCAGCAAGCAGTCGAATTTGCCATGGATGACCAACCTCCAGATGTGATTGCACTGGCCCCAGATTATCCCATGAGCCACTTAGACACGCCGAGTGATTCCTCCCAACCTCATGCTCAGGATCCCTCTCTTGAGTGCCCGGAATGTCATCGACAATTTAACCAGGCCGGGATACTGAAGCGGCGCATGCGTCAAATGCACCACATCCCATGTTTGCCAGAAGATGTATTTAATCCCCTGCGCGACTCATTCGATGGCACTAGTGTCTGTCGTCATTGCATAATCCAATTTTCCAATATGACGACATTGCGTACACACATTAACAAACGTGTTTGCACAGCTTTTGACCTGCATCAGGCCCTGGTGATCCTGATTGTGTCCAGACCTGAAGTGGCCATGCACATTCGACACCGATCGTACATGGGCCTGTACTTGGATAAGCCACTGTGCCAAGAGCTTGCCACTCGCTGCGCCTTCTGCAACCAACAGGTCCATGCCAAGGCAATGACCCGTCACTATCGGGACCACCATCAGGAGAAGATCAAACCGACCAATACACACTTGGAAATGGTCAGAGGCTTTGCCAACTTCGGGTCAGGACGAGGTGAATGCCCGCTTTGTTGCACCAGAACGCTCAATGTCCACACACACCAGTGCAGTGTGGTATACCAATTGGCCGCCATGACAGCCCACGTGTTTGATCCAGCTCACTTTCCTGTCATGCCATGCATGAAGCGTGCATGGTATCCGTCCTCGACCTCAGGTACTGATCCAGTGCCTGACGAAGCTCCTGATCCGGGTCCAACCACCAAGAAGCTCCGGGGCCCCATGGACCTGACATCAACCCCGGACACAGCCCTGACCACAAGATCCACTGCTGCCCCATCCAGTTCAGATCAGGCCAACACCAGTCCATCGACCTTCAAGTGCACCCAATGTCCGGCAGTGTTCTTGTCCCCCCAAGGCCTGACCCAACATCAAGTAGTACATCATTCTCCCGGGTCGACCCCTGCCCAAACGGCTAGGCAACCCAAGCGTGGCCGACCTCCAGGTAAAGATACAATCCAGACCCGTTTGGCCGAGACTGCAACAACCGAGATTCCAGTCCCATTGTCTGAGTTCACCTGCCCTTTGTGTCTTGAAGTGATTGGACGAAAAGGTCTGGCCCAACACGTCCGCCTGACGCATCAGGTTGACAAGCCGGAGTCTTTTCCCTTTAGGCCCAGCCGTGACATGATGCCGGGCCGGTTGAGCTGCACCCATTGTCGAGCTTCGTTCACGATGCCGTTTGCCTTGCAAAATCATTTTAGCAGGGGTACATGCCCACAGCTAGTCATTCAATGGATCCACGACCAACATTATGGTCCTTCGGTCCCGCACGAAGTGCACGATGCCACACCTTTGCCGAGATGGGCCTCAGACTCGGTTCCATGGACATTGGACATCAGATCCACAGGCCACACACCGGATTGCATGGACATGATTCATCACGTCCCCATGCCACTGTATCATTCGATTGCATTTGTTCCGGAAGCACGCCTTCACTGGTATGCACAGACAACCAGATGGGTTTCTCACTTCCGCCAACTGCCTCAGGTACTGTTGACCTCTGACATGCTTTTCCGGACGGTGGCATGGATCACCGCGATTGTGCCTTTCCGATGGGCCTGGCACTCAAATAGCCTGGACTCCTGGTGGACCCCACAGAACGTTGTGATTGACACGTATTCACACCAACAGTTGACATTGCACCATGTTCTGATGGAGCTCGAACACGCGTTGGCCCGTGACCTGTTTCTCACCGTAGCTGGTAGTCGGGATGGCCGAACATATGTCCAACGACGACATGTCCTTTCACGATCTGGTAGAGGCTCTAGGCACCCATGTGAAACGGCCTCGAACGGCCGACTCAGAGTCTTCCACCCAGACTGGCAAGGGCAGATCGAACCATCGATCCAACTTCTCGGACTCATCCAGGAGGTCCGAGCAGGACGCTTCGTTAGTTCAGATGCTGACGAAACTTTGTTTGAGACAGGAAGACATGATCAATGCCATGTGCTTGGACCGCAATTTCCTTCTCTTTCTCCAGGCCGGCAAGGGATCCATACTTCCCACCATGCTCACGGCCTCAAAAGAATGGCACACTCAGAAGCAGCAGGCTGGTGTGACCTGCCCTCTGCGGCAGGTGCTTTTCTTGAAAGTGGTGGAGGAGCTAGTGCAACGCATTGGCCGACTTAATGTCGAAGACAGCGCCGACGCACTTTGCACCAATCTTCGGAGCAAATAGATTTTGAATGCCCAGAACGAATGGAACTACGTGTCGTGGGATCAACAGGCCAAATGTCTGAGACCCACCAAGCAGGAGCCACTTTCTTTTGTTCGCGTCCGGGAGATCCTGACCTTGTTGACACGCCTTGGAGCCAACACCGAGTTGATCCACAAATTTGCTCCGATGAAGCCCATGAACCAAGAAGGGATTCAGGACGACAGCCAATTGGTGATCCCGTGGCGACTGGACATCTCCCTGCGCAGCCCGGAATCTCACCAGCTGTTTGGTGCATTGATGGCCCTATGCGGGAACGGCATGGGACAGATGGTGCTCTTGAGGATTCGTATTACCTCCCTCCAGCGATCCCCGCTGGCTCAGGCCATTGCAAAACAGGTGAGAACGTAGCTCGCAGCTTGTTGACACATGCCTTTAGCAACAGTGGCAATGCGTGCTACCTCAACAGTGTCATGTTGAGTCAGCTGTGGTCGATGGCCGCACATGACAGCTTTACCCCCGCTGAGTGGGGTGCATGGGGTCCGCATCTTTTGTCTTTTTTGACAGATGCCGGATGGCAGTTGGCTGATCTTGTGGTTGATGAGCCTTTTTGTACACTGCATGGTCCTTGGCTGACTGCTCATCCATGGGGAATTCAGCAGGATGCTGCTGAATATAGCGGTTGATTGCGTGAATAATTCATGTAACAAAACCCTTGGGGACGACAGGCCGATGGATGGCAAAGTAGGTTGACCACTGGTCATGATGACGGTGGCGCGTTAATTGCACCGATCTTGCTCCGCTGCCCTGACCAAAAGACGTGTTCATTACAAAACATGATTCATGCATAACACCAGCAGTCCCCATACACCAATGCGTGTTTATCGGAGCACCCCAATATTTATCTTCAGATTGAGCGCTTCCCCCGATTTGCCCACCAAGAATCACATGAACGTTGATCTTCCCAGGTCCTGTGTCCAAATTCCGATTTTTGAACGAACCTCCGGCCTTAATGGGTACTGGGCTGAGTATCGTATCGTGAGCCTAACCTTACACTTGGGCGAGGGGCCTCATTCAGGACACTATCAGTCCTGCTTATTGACAAGTGGACCTAGCCGAGTTGTTTGCACCCCGCATGCAGAAAGATTGCTATTTAATTTGGCTTGTGTCTCAGCTGGAGCTTGCGAAGTTTCGGCGCCGGCCATTTCCCAAACTAGCCGAAGATGAAAATCCATGGACCCAATTTCTCGAAGACACTTTTCGTTGAACCTCGTCGTACTCAGACTACGCCGACTTCCGGGGCTTCTAATGCACTCGATGCATCCGCTTTCGTAGCGTTGCCCAACAGGGACCAATAATATATTGGCCAGAAGAAAAATAAAAAATTTAATAAATATCAATTTTATTTATATTTATAATTTTTTCTTTACTAATAAAAATAAAAATATAAATTTCATTATTTATCAATATATATATTCTAATTAATTATTAATACCCTATATATATTTTCTAAATATCAACAAAAATCAAAATTGCAAAAATATTTGTAATAACCCATCATTCAGATTTATTTTTTATAAATTCGAAGCTAAAAATCAAATATAATAAATTAAATTTTCGCCTTTTGCAAAATAGAATTTTATAACAAAATCATTCCCCCAAAACAAAACAAAAATAATATTAACATTATTAATCGTAATATTAATAGAAATAATAATAATAAAATAATAAAATATATAAAATAATATAATAATATCAATAACTACCATAATAAGAAGAATAAAAATAAACAAAAATTACAAAAAGATAAAAACCAATATATACGACAAAAAGAATAAACTATATAATAACAATAAAAAAATAATAACAAAAAACAATAATAATATTAATAATAATAATAACACCAAGAAAAACATCTTTAACCATATCGTTCGTTAACAAAATATTTTCGTCAATTCGAGAAAAAAACATTCGTCAAATGAGATATTAATATATTCTAAATCACTATCATCAACAATCCTATCTTTAAACCGACAACCATATATTCTTAAATAGATTATATACTCATCTAATATTTATTTAACATAACATAATTATCGTGTGTATTTAACTATATTTATATTAAATATTCGCATCATTCTATAAATACATTTACAATCTATTGTTGATTCAATTCTGTATGATAATATTTTTTCGAATGTATTTTGGGTCTATTTATCATTAATACTTCCCACGCTATTTCTGCGGGAATTCCGGAGAATTCATCAGGCTTTGGAACCTTTGAGATGATTTCATTTGGACATATTTGGACATATTATTGAAGCATGGTCGTTTCCTGTGCATGAATATATATGTATATGAGTTTGGGCCTGGCTCCTTGCCCAAACAGGCGTGTGTACAATCTCACAAGAATGGCTTTTTGCTACAGGAGGGCTCCTTCGATTGTGCTCAAAGCAATGGAGACATCAACAGAGCCAAAAGATATCCTTCGCAAAAGGTACCGTGATCCAAGAAGCCCTCCATGTCAAAAGTCAGTAGCTCGTGGAGCAGTCAAGGGCGCCAAACAAAATATCTGAGAAGATTGCAAAACATGGCAATTCATGGCAAGGCTGATCCCTGGAATTGATGCATTTTAGTATCCAGTCTTGGCTGCTCTCATCTTCTTCGACTTCAATGTCCGCGCAACGGCTTCAGTTGCCTCCAGCGCGCCGATGCATGCGGGACACCCAAGTGCTAAAGCCGCGGTCTCCAGTATCAGCTTGCTGCGGTACATGTCGGCCACGTTCAAGCCATGCGGCCCAGACCTTTGAGGCCACAAAATCCTCAGCTTCAGCGGCATAGCAGCTATACTTGGAAATGTCTAGCCGAACAGAACATGCCCAAGACAAAAGCAAATGAATGCAAACGGATTTTGCAATTGGCTAACCTACCTGATCTTGCATGTGTTGGGGCTAAGGCCTCTCCAAAGGAGACTTAGCATGGACTTTAGAAACAGCATTTTAACCGTGCCTGGCACTAAATTCAACCAAGTCTCTGCAGTAAATTCGAGCTTTCGCTCGACATCAGCACCTTTTCCAGAGAGTCCAAAGGAAGGCATCAAGACGCTGTATTGCGCATACTTGTCGTGCCCGGTGTTCTTCGTAGCAGCTTTCTCCACATAGATGGAAAGCACGTCTGTATAATTGGACAGCAGGACAGACTCCTGCCGGCACGAAGCCGGCGACCGTTTCCCTCAAGCCAATGCTATACTAAAATGATCTAACATGCATCTTCTTTGGAAGTTTCTGTTCTGAACATTCCTCAAAGCTGCCTGACCTTTGTGCCATTTCCTGCCTGTGCCCCTGCGGGCCACTGGGGCTGTGCGGAGCATTTCTGCGGCTCATGTTTGTGGGTGAATAAATCAAGTTGCAGTATTGCGGTATGATGGTGCGACCCATTGAGTGTGAACAAGCGCATGAAATTGTTTCAGTACCGCAGCCCCTCTCCTGGTACTCTTGATCTTGTTCATCAAACAGCTCCCAGCAGGGCATGGAGACGATTCGTATCTTTAAGCACGGCTGATTCACCTCAGCTTTGTGCCAAATCTTGGTGCTTCCGTCACAGAAGCATGTCAAGAATCCATGAGAAACCTGGTCTGTCCAAAACCTAGTGTTGTTTCCTTTGGTTTGTGCCCGCATGCGTCCTACAGGCATGGCACACTAAATGTAGAGCTCATTGAAGCAAAGGTCACCGGAAGAGAGATACAATACAGGCTGTGGTACTAATCTCTGCAACCCCTTTGAAATTGAACTGCCTAGACCCATCTCGCAAGCAACCCGCAAACATATCGGTTGACATTATCTAGACTCTAAATACTTCTTTACATATCAAATTGTGTGCGGTAAGGGCACACAATTGCAATTGGGATCTGTAGCCGCATGGCAACAGCACCAACCCCTACTTCCCGCATTCTTGATCTGCAAGCTGCCAGCAGGAACTAGGAAGACCAGCATCTCTACTTCACATCAGCTGACTACTGCCATCTACTGCCCTAGAGGAACAAAATACTAGAGCAGTCTTTGAGCATACTGAAGCTCCAAAACGAACTGCACTGGGCAAGCTTGGAATATTACGTTTCGAGCAGCCCCATCCTGGGGCCAACCTGTGGTTCCGAGTTGCTGATGGAGACGTGCTCTCGGTTGCACGTACAAACAAACATGGGGTGGGTGTCGCGCGCACGGTATTGCTTTTTGCTGGCAAAGTCGCTGAAATCGGCAATGGGATAGGCCCATCAAAGCCTCAGCATGAAAGTGATGTTAATTTGGGGGGCCGGCTAATCATGTCAAACTCTCTCACCCATGGGTGCATGTCCGCCTTTTGTGTGGCTCCCATGGTGCGACAGGAGAAACACGTCAATGAATCACACATTCCAAAAAGGGCGACTCCCAACAAACATGTTCCGATTAAAGCGTTTGTAGTGCAACTTGTTGGAACACTGCACTAATGAGGCTCTCTGGCCCCAAAACTAACATCGTAAGGCCACTGTGACGGAGCAATGCCAAACGGATCCAAATGGATTTCTCTCTCAGGGACTGATGTGAAGTTGCTCGTAGAAGGCACTGGACCACTTGAGCAGCAATTCCTTCGTCTGCATACATAGTCCAACATCTTGCCCGCTACCGATGAGGATGATGTCCTTGCTTTTGTGCAAGGTGCGGGGCGGCACATGATCTGCTCACTTACAATGTGTGCTAGAGTTGGGGTCTTCTCGTGAATCCTGTAGAATCACCACAGATTCAATGTCCCCGTTCCCTTTGGGCTTTACACATCTTTACATGGCTTTACCATCGGACACCACCACCTCCCAACCAGCATCGAAACCTGAATTCACCAGCTAGAGCATGCTAGCTCGGGCATCTTTTCGGTTTTTGCCAAGATACAGGGACCTTCGAGCCCGTTGGCAGGGTATGGCTCCCGTGGGAGGTGCCAGTGGGGATGTCGAAGCAGTCATGGACCACGTAGGCGCCTGCAACACGATCAAACGAAGAATCGGAACATGGGCACATGATGGCACATGGATCTCTTTGTGTTGGATCCTGAAGGAGAGTGAACCAAGCGAACGCCCTTGCAGTGTCTCGTGGTGTGGGAGTTTGTGCGACTGAGCCAGCTTTCGCATGAAAGACCAGAACAACATGCTGTGTGCATTGAAGGGGTGTGCTGATATGTAGGACTTGTGGTCGCTGGTGGTCTGTGCAGGCCCGTCCAAAATATTAACTAGGACCGAGAAATACCCAAATGCAGAGGTGGCCTCCCTTTCGTGCAGGCATTCATCACGAGCAGAGGGATGCATAGAAAAGTGAGCGCACAAGAAGCGACAACAAACCGCTCAAACCACCACTACTACAGTAATGGAAAGTGGCAACAACCCCTTGTTCGATCTTGCAATAAGGAGTTCAGTGAACCTGAGATGAAGTTCTTTGCCACCCAGCTGGACTCCAGCCTCTGAGGAGGGTAACAACAGGTGTTCTCAAATTCATGTTCTCAAATATATTTCAGGTTTTCTCATTTACTGATTCACTTTTCCAACTTGTGGCTCCTGCCTAAAGGGTCTTTGAACAAACTCTGGAAATTTTCCAAAGGACACCACAAGCAATACACCTGGCTGGCCCAAAGCTTGGGCCTGACTGACCAAGTGTCTACCTTCTCCTCGCCTCGCTTCACGCCCTCGCGTCCCGACATGCCCGCATTGGGCTTGTAGGGGAGGCCCAGCTCACCACGACATGTCATCAAGAAGATGGGCCGTCGAGATAAGGGCTTAGGATCCACATATTGGCTGATGTCCTCCGCTCCAAAGGAGAAAAACCCGCAGCGAACATGGACAGCATCAAAAAGGACGTCTGATGACATCTCAAGGTGGCGAAAGGATGCACATAGAAGAGAGCATGGGGGCCTAGCCAGGCCTAGCCTGCTGACGATGGCATCTGCTGGTTAAGTCAGGAACACACATGAGGCCAAACTCATGTCAACATAGACGATTCCACAATGATAACTTGAGGCTTTGGGCGCCTGATGTGAACAATCGTAGGCTTGTTTATCCACAATGCGCTGCACAAACCCCGGATTGACATACACAAATTATGGCAAACGATCAATGAACCTACCAATGGGATCAAGGAGCATTAACGATGACAATGGTGCGAGCCTCAAGATGTTCCCCCGGCTATTCGCTCTACTTGGGACACGGATATGTTCATGGTATATAATCATTTTTCAAACAAGTCTTCCATGGCATGTCTATTGGCCCAAAGAAGAAGGTGATGCCTCCGACTTGCAAATGCTTCAGTGACTGCATCACAAATGCCAGGGCTCCCGAAAGCTGGCATACTGCTCTGCCATGACTTCGAAGGCTCCAACCGTCTCATTCCTGGCGAACGCCCACACTCCACCGATTCGACTGAGCTTTGGTAATTGGGTGAATTCAAACAATTCAGGTTAGTTGTTGAGCGGCCTTGGAGTGGGCTGATTGACCAAGCTAGCTTGTATACATCGATATATATACTCTATATGTCCATATCTCAGACCAAAGGAGAATCCAAAGGATGCGCTTAGAAGCAAACACTGATCATGGGACCAAATGATGCTGTCAAAAGCACAAGCGAGTCCAAGTGGGTGGCCCATCAAGCGCTCCACTATCTGCCTACAACCAAGTCACCAAGCGGCGACTGCAACAGTCTCCTGTCGAACATCTGACGGCTTCAAATCAAAACACCTTGCTTTGGAGTAGGCCGGGATGTCTACAAGATTGTACAAGTATGCACATGATGATCAAATAATCACCGACACATACCGACACCTTCATTCTGAACATGTTGGCGATTAGATGCCTTGTTGTCCCAGAGCTGCAGAACTCCCTGGAATCTTCTCACTCTATTGAAAATTTGATCGTTTCTCCCGCTGTCTGAACAGAATTTTGCCGGAGGTTCACATCTGCTGGACGAATCACCAAGAGGTTTGGCATCGCTCGTAGCTGTGGCAAAACCTCAACCTCAACTCCAGATTGAATATGACTCCATGGCTATGTTTGTCAGAATGTTGGCGGGCAAAAGACAAATAGAAAAACCGTCGCCCAACAATATCTAGGATCCTGCAACGCATCAAGCTGGTAGAATAGGGTAAATTGAAGCATGCTTGGATGGCCTCTAGAAAAAACATGGCTCGTCTTTGGATCGCATTCTGCCCGCAGAATGTTGAGATTTCTGCCGTGCATCTGGAATGAGGCCAACAAATGCCAACAACATCCAACTTGCGAAGCGGAGAGAACCCAACAGAACCCACGGATCTACATGGATCTACCATCATCCTGACGTTCCCTTTCCTCCCTCGCCCTGAGGCACTGAGGCACTGGTTGGTGGGTAGGCCCATCCTCGCCCAAGTCGATGGAGTCATGGGTGCCGATGTAGAAGACTGGGAACCTGTGGGGCGATGACGGAAGACATTCGTGTGAACATGTTATGTTTTGGGGATTTCCTTCCACCCAATGCATTCCAAATCATATGAAATCCTTTGAAATCGCGACCTATGAGTTCAGCAAGCTCCTGGAAATTTTGAGGTGGGCAGGAAAGCAGTGATTTGGCAGTTTGAAGCAACAAAAATCAGGGCTCTGGGTCCCCTGCCCTTATTAATGCCCATGGTCAAGCAGCAAAGGATAGCAAATGTCAAATGATTCTGTTGCTATAATATACTTTGATATTGTTTGAGGAAGCAGTTCATGAACGTCATTTGTTCACGAACACCAAGTTCGAGGTTGCTGAATGTCAGCTGCCTTTCTGATCGAGCCGCCACTAGAAAGGAAAAGGTTCGCTTTTCGTTCATGTGCGCTTTTCCGCTGTTTGCTCACTGGAATAGGTTATGAGCCCAAGCAACCCTGGACCACTGCGATAGATGTCGCTGAACCAAAGAAGACGAAGAGCGACAGCAGCTGAGCTTGCACAGGGCGAGCGAGAGATGAAGCGGGCGCAAGAACGCCTGGACCGAGAGCTGAGGGAAAGCGGTGAGTTGGCCTTGGAGGACGACCAAGGCAGTGAAGTGAAAGGAAAAAGGATAGGAAAAAAGGGGCAAAAGGAAGCTTCGGAATCCCATCCTAGTCAAGGGACTCCTTCCACAGCAGCTGCACCAACCACCGTGACTAGTGCTTCGAAGGTCACCAACTCTGTTGCAGGTAGAACACCAGAGGTGAGGGGGCCGCCAATGCCTTTGAGTTCGACCCCAAGCGCAAAAGAAAAGGTAGCAAAGGGTCGAGAAGATGTGACTTCTATCACCCCCTACAAGGCCGAAGAAGAGGTTGAGGTAGGAAAGGGTGGAGAAGAAGAAGAAAGTAAAGAAGAAGGATTTCAAGTGGATGTGTTGCCAAATGGTCCCCATGAGATCCTTTCGATTGCAACACCACCGGAAGCAGTGAAGCCTCTGTTTGACAGGGAACAACTACAGGGCCTTCATGAAATGTATAGCCAAGCTCCTCTCTTGTATCCACAGTTCCAAACTCCTCAAACGTCCTTGCACCGTCCTGGCTTCCTCGCTGATGAAGAAGAAAAGAAGGAAGTGGCAAGAAAAGCAAGGCAAGAAAGGATGATGGAAGAAGAAAGACAAGAGTGGGAGGCTGCAGAAAGGTATGAAAGGGAAGAAATGAATCGTCGCATTCGCCTGCTGTCTCAGGAGAACCAACGACTCCGAGATCAAGCAACTGGTATCTATCCTCTGACGAGGACCAGGCTTGAAGGTGATGAGGTTCAGAAAAGACAGATTTCTCAGCTCTTTGAGGAGAATCGACTTCTCAAGGTGCACTTGCAACGCCTCTTGACAGCACAGCAGGAGGTAAAAGAAGATGAAGCTGTTTTCGCCACCCCAAACGGTAGTGCTGAAGCAGGTGATTCAACCCGACCTCCTGAAGCTGAAAGAGGAGAGGAAGAGTTGAAGACAGAACAAACAAGAGAAGAAGAACAAAGAACAGGAAAAGGAGGAACTGTTCCAAGGAAAAAGAAAAAAGAAGAACCAGTTGAATCTATGGACACTCAGCACCAAACGCTCACGGTCGTCCTCAAGCTGGTTGAAGGCATGCAAGAGTTGCAGAAGAAAGTGCTTCGTTCGCAGCGAGATGAAGACGGAGCAGAAGCTGAACTGGTTCGCAATGCAGTCGAACTACCAAAGTTGCCAGAGTGGAGCCCGGAGTCGTCGCCCATTGACTATGCAGACTGGCTGTTGTTGCTGCAGCCCATCATGGCCGACCTGTCCACCACAAGCGAAACTTGGTGGGAAGAAGTTGTCCGGGTGGCTCGCTCTTGGTATGAAGATCATATGGCCAAAACTCCACTAGAAAGATTGGGGCACAAGGTTCATCCATCGTCAGTCCTCAATCAGAAGAAGTGGTCGCGGCTTGAGAAAAGGGCATCAGGGTTACTCCTGACCGCCATCCCAAATTCCTTGAGAGAAGAAGTTGTTGCATCCAAAAGCATCTCAACACTGGGCATCCTGGTTCGAGGCATGGAGCTGTATCAACCTGGAGGTCTAGCAGAACGCCAGGCCATTCTGAGTGCCCTTGAAGCCCCGTCGGAAGCTCAAAGTGTTGGCTCGTGCATTGCCACCCTACGAAAGTGGATCCGATGGAAAAGACGTGCTGAAGAGTTGGGGGTCAGTGTACCAGATCCCACCATTCTTGCCAGAGGCCTAAGCCGCATGCTTCGGAAGATCCTGACGCTCAACCAGGACTTGAACTTCCGCCTCCAGTTGGCAAGATCGTCGTTGATGATCGACTCGGTCCCAAATCATGCTTCGATCACCCAGTATGCCGAGCATGTGATGGCTGAGCTGGAACAGGTCAATTTGCAGAGTCGAAAGAAAGATCCTCCTGCACTACCTGATCCTACAAAGTTGAAGCGATTCGAGGAAGTCAACAAAGAAAAGAAGGAAGGACGAGATCGAAAAGATGTAGAAGAAAGAGAACCCAACAAAGAAAAAGGAAAGTGTCGGTTCTACCTGACAGACTCAGGTTGTCGACGTGGCAAAAGTTGTGGCTACTCCCACGACCTCAAGGACGAAAGAAGAAGGTGCTGGAATTGTGGTTCAATAGACCATATGGCTCCAGCATGTACAAGACCCAAGGAGGTGAGGGACTTCTCCTCGAAGCCAAAGATCGCCAAGGCTGAGAAAGAGAAGGTTGAAGGAGGAAAGGGTGAAGTGGACCAAAACGATGGAGCTCCATCCATCAAAGAGTTGATCAAGGAGGCAAACGACATGTTGAAGAGCATGCATTCCTCGCCATCATCATCGCAAGCTTCTTCACCTGTTTCAGCCGTCCCTCAGGAGCAAGAAAGAAAAGAAGTGATGGAAAAGCTACAGCAACAGTTGAACATGTTGCGCATGAAAACGTTCAGGTTGAAGAGATTGCAGAAGGGAGAAAAAGAAGGGCTGCTGGACAGTGGTGCAACTCATCCTCTTCGTCCATTGAAAGAAGGGGAAGATCAAGAACACTACAAGAAGGTCCATGTCTCCCTTGCAGATGGAAGCACGGCCACCCTGGCCATCAGTCCAGGGGGAGCGATGATCTCTGAGGACCTTGACATTGAGCCGATCATACCCATGGGCTTGCTTGCTGACCAGCTCAACTGTTCCATATCCTGGTCGAAAGGGCGTTTGGAGGTGGAACATCCGACCTGGGGGAAACTGCCAGTGGAAGATCGACATGGGTGTCCTCAGTTACCACGTCGCCTGGCTCTGCAGTTGATTGATGAACTTGAGAAAGTGAAGTTGGGAATGAACTATGAAGAAGACGATGACTTTGAGGCAGAGCTCAAATGGATGCGAGACTTGGCGCAACAACATCCGGTGTTGTCCAGGCTTCCGGACTATGTCAAGGATAGTTTGGTCGTCTCTCCTGCACCCTGGTCTTCGCTGCCTGCCAATAGAAGAATGAGGAGAAGCATGAAGAGAAATGGCTTCGTGTGCCACCTTTATGCAGGTGAAGCTGATGGATTTACACTTGGTCGTGCATGGAGTCAAGCAGGACGAAAAGATGCTGAGCTCCTCGAGATCGACCTGAAGAGAGGAAAAGAACACAACATGCTGACTCCGGATGGGCCCTATGGAGGTCTGATGAGAGCAGTTCTTGAAGATCGCTTGCTTGGCCTGGTCGGAGGCCCCAATTGCAGAACTCGTTCAGTTCTGAGACACTACCCTGTTGAGGGGGAGACGCCACCAAGACCCATTCGTCGTTGGGGAGGTGAAGAAAATGGCATCAAAGAAGCTACTGAAGAAGAAAAAAGAAAGATTCAAGAAGACGACATTTTGTTGTGGCGCATGGTCTTTCTTCAAATGGTTTCCGCCTACATGAGGAGGGCCAGGGGAATGTCAAAAGAACCAGCATTTGCTTCGGAACAACCAGCATCCCCGAAGGCCTACATGCCGGAAGTGGTGTCTTTTTGGGACACCGAAGAATGGAAGATGCTTCAGAAGGAATTCCAGTGGAATGAAACTACCTTCCACCAGAAGCCACTTGGAGGTCAGACTGCAAAGCCAACAACGTTTGCAGGAAACATGAAGCTCAATCCTGAAGAACACTACATGAAAGGGGAAAAGAGTTCGACAGTCAAAGGTTCTTGGGAGTTGGCACGATGGGCGCCGGGCATCATGCACATGTTGTCGAGGTCCTTGCTCCTCCATGCCTTTGGTCGAAGCCCGCAGTTGAAAGCTATGT